TTAAATGGGGCGGTTGACGTGCAGGGTTAGTGTTTCACGATTTGTTTCAGGATCACTGCTGAGCCGCTACAGAACGAGAGGACCGTCTGCGGGTCAAGCAAAACGACACCCTACTTGCACCTTTGTCGAGAATCCGAGATTTAAGTTCATGCCATATCTTGCATATTTGATAATAAACCCTATAAACCCTAAACCCTAAACCCTGATAATAAATAAGTCCTGTCCGGACGACATTGAGTTTTCATGCAAGGACCTGGCGAACCTCTGGTAGTCAACCCCGCCAGTCGGCTCCACGCATTAGAGCGGCCGTCAAGGCAGCTGGCAGTTGCTCAAAACTTTGGTGCCATGGGACCGAAGACTGACATAGAGAATATGAGTAGCTGTTTTAGTCGACGCAGAAGAAGAACAGTTACTGCCCTTTAACTAATGAATCCCGGAGGTGCAGGCGGATGTGCTGCTGCAGGGAGAGTACTCTACGCGCTCGTCTGCCTCAGAATCCTTCAGCCGCCCTTCAAGTTTGCACAGGCCGACAGCAGGTTCACTAAGGCGTTGCAGCGCAACCGTTGCAGTGCTCGTGCCGATCGGCGGAGCCGCATTCAGATACACTTAAGGCCTTCCTTCCTTGTATGACTATGGCTATGGGGCATTATGGGCTTATTAAGCCCATAACACGCCTGTTCTACAATAATGGCCAGACTCGACCCTCAATTGCTCCTAAAGCGCTCTCGGGAAGTTCATGCGCACTCACACATGCCATGCAGCCATCACAAGAACTATGGTAAAAAAGCCGTGATCTCTTAAAAGGATGCTGTTCGGCCTGTGTAGGCGATAGTAAGTTGAGTTGAGACGAAGGGCTGCCAGCCTGGGCAAGTTGTAGTGGAGTTTCCGAAAATACGGGGTACCTTATTTTGGGGTCCTTGTAATATTCAGGGTACTATATTAGGGTCCCCTATTTTCGGAATCCCCCTTGTAGTGGAGCAGAGATGTGCTTCTAGAACCCTAGCCCTCCGGGTACCCTCTATATGAGTAGTTGTCAAAATGATGGTCCCTTTTGGGGTACCCTGAATAATAGGTGGTATTATAATAAGGACCCAAAAAGGACCATCATTTTGACAACCACCCATCTAGGGTACTAGAGCCCATAGGGCCCTATGTAGTAGGTACCTGGGGGGTTAGGGGAAGACAGGAAGCAAGAGCATCTGCCAGTCATGTTCTTATTTGTTGGCACACACGCGCACACGAGGAAGTCGTGAAAGTGAGTTGGTATGGCTACTTTCCACAAGACCGACAATTCGCAGATCCTGCCAGGTCAATATCCACGTCCACAAACATATAAATGCATACAGTAAGCCCATAGTCGATAAAGATATGAGAAAACGTACGAAATCAGCCCTGGAAAGGTACAGCTGCGGATGAGGGTCCCTGCCTCCAGTGGCGAACCTGTCCTCAGTGAGACTATGCTGGACTGTTGAATGCTGGCAAAGCCAACGTGCATTGTGTTGTGAAGACTACATCTATAGCGTGGCTTTGTGCGAATCCTTTGCTTCTGTGGCAAAGATGGAAGCATCATTGTCGCAATGTCCTATGGCGTGTTGCCCTGGCTTCCTCTGCCTCGGCACCTTCTTCGCAAACTAAGAAGGACCCTCCGATTTTGGCGAACATCTTGGTGGGATATTGTCGACATCAACTTAGCCCTGGATCGGCAGACCGAGTGGATCCACATCAAGGAGGCCCAGATGCGGTTTACGGCTGAAGTTTACACGGCTCGAAGGCCTAGCCGACTCTCAAGCACATGATGCTTCCGTCGGAGTGGAAGTCAAAGCCTCCCAACTTACATGCGCTTTGTGGAGCGTGCTTGGTACGGAGATTGGGATTTTGCCACGTGGTTTGGGTCGACCTCTCGGTGCAGCGCAATTGTCTGTGCCTGCAGCTGCAGCTGGACTGTCGTGGCCGCGCTGTATAGCTTGGAACCGTTTCCGAGTTCACGTCCATGGAGTCAGAAACGACTAGGAATGAACGAGAGCACGGTATCCAATACGAGATGGGCTGATGCCTGAGGCATAACAGCCGTTTTAGGTCAAGTCTGCGGGACGAGGAGCCAAAATGCTGATGGTGAACCTTAGAGCTATAGGGGGGTAGGTAAGTAACCTTTAAGCCTCTTGGCTAGATTGCACTCCTGAATCGCAACGTCGTCGAATTCCAGTCATTGTGCCTTATAAACCCTACACCGTCTATAAATCATCAACCCGATCCTGAGTCCTCCGTCCTTGCGGGCTGAATCCGGGAGTGTGTCAGGCTCTCAGAGCTTACCTTAAGTCCGAATACCTGAAAGTGGTGTTCCTTAGGTTCCTCATATAGCATAACACCACCCAAATGAGATGTCTAGCTGCGCCTCTGTTACAGTATACAGTATACGACATAGCACATACTTCATAGTATGGAACATACAGTACCTAGTGCATAGTACATAATGTGTAGTATATCCTATATAGTATATCGTCTATCGTATAAAGCATATAGCATTAAGTGTATGGTATATAGTTACTAGTATATATTATAGTATATAGTATATAGTTTTTAAATATTTCAAGTATAGAGTATAGTATACAGTAAAAGTATGTAGTGTAGTATACACTTTAGTATATAGTATAGTATATAGCAAGTTTACAATATAGTTTATGGAAGAGTCTGTAGAAAAAGTATACAGTATAGTATATGATACAGTACATGGTAGAGTATATGGTGCAAAACAGAGTTCATTCCCACGTGTCTCAGGCTGGATTTCGACTGACCGACGTTTAGTCGTTTGCCACTCAGGCTCTGTCACGATGCCGATCAGCGTGTTCGCAGTACGCGTGGTTGAAATGGCACAAGCAAGAGCACCATCAACCGTAGCTGGCTGTCTCGGCAAAAAGTTTTGAGGCATCCTCAATTGCATGACTTACAAGAGTTAAGGGTTCAGTCATGCAACGCATTGGGTGTGTCCATAGTCTGTTGCATCTGAAAAAATATGGCTCATGTCCAAACCTCACGAGCATTGCTGTCGCGTGCGTGGGAAGCTTGACTGGGACTGCGACAGAAGGTTTCGACAAGAGACACCTTTGCATAAGCATTTTGTGTCCCACACAATCCAACTTCGACACGCGCAGCATAATCGGAAGCAGTGGCAATCCTAGCAACAGCTAGACCGTA